GCAAGACCACATAAAAGAAGAAATTGCTAAAATGGAAAAAGAAGGAATAATTCGAAAATCAAGAAGTCCTTGGAGTTTCCCAGTAGTTCTTGTTAAAAAGAAAAATGGAAAGCTTAGGTTCTGTGTAGATTATAGAATATTAAATTCTATAACTAAGAAAGATACTTATCCTCTACCACGTATTGATGAAATGTTGGATAATCTAGGGAAAGCAAAGTGGTTTACTTCCTTTGATCTAACTTCGGGATACTGGCAAGTTGAAGTAAAAGAAGAGGATAAAGAAAAGACCGCATTTATTACAAAGTTCGGTCTATATGAATTTAATGTCATGCCCTTTGGACTTTGTAATGCACCTTCAACCTTTCAAAGATTAATGGATGTTATACTTGAACCAGCACTTTGGAAGTATGCCATAGTCTACATTGATGATGTAAATATATATTCAGAAACATTTGAGAAACATGTCGAACATTTGAAAGCAATATTTTCTTTAATTAAAAATGCAAATTTACAAATTAATCCTGAAAAATGTCATTTTTGCACTAATGAAATGCAATTTCTTAGATATATCGTTAGTATAAATGGAATAAAACCTGACTCTCAAAAGGTTAAAAAACTTGAGAAATTATCTCTACCGAAAAATATTACTTAATTAAGAGCATTTATAGGACTGGCATCCTATTATCGTTGATTTATAGAAAACTTTACTAAAAAGGCTGCACCTTTAAACAAATTATTACAAAAGGATGTAGAATTTATTTAGACAGAAGAACATAATAGAATATTTAATTACCTAAAACAATGTTTAATTACTGCTCCAATATTACAATACCCTGATTATAATGAACCTTTTATTATATTTATTGATGCATCCTATCAAGGACTTGGAGCTATATTATTCCAAGTAAAAGATGGAAAGAAATATGTAATAGCCTATGCTAGCAGAACATTAACTTCTGCAGAAAAGAATTATAGTACTGTTGAATTAGAATGTTTAGTAGTAATTCAGGCTATTAAATATTTTCGACACTATATATATAGAATGAGATTTACCTTAATTACTGATCACAAGGCACTACAATGGTTATTAAATTCATTCACGATTAATGATAATAAAAGGATCACTCGATGGCGATTAACCCTGCAAGAATATCAATATGATATTAAGTATTGTGCTAGTAGCCAGAACAAAAATGCTAACTTCTTCTCACGTTTACCTGAATATCTAAATACTGACAATGGATGAACAACAGTATACAAATCTTTATAACTATTTATCTTACCTCAAATATCCACTGGACATCTCTAATATGAAAAAATCTCGTTTACAAAAAGAAGCAAATAATTATCAAATAATAAAAGAAAAATTATATCATCGAAATAAAAAAAATCCTCTCAGAGTAATTAAACATTATCAAAAATATACTATATTATATTCATTGCATGATGAACAAGAAGTACATTTTGGAATTAGATCACCTTACAATAAAATAAAAGAAAGAGATTTTTGGCCAAACATGTATGAAGATATTAAAAATTATATTCAAACATGTGACATATGCCAATGTAGAGAACATGAAATTAGAAGGCAAGATTTTAGACCTATAGAAGTAAAAGAACCTTTCTTTAGAATTGAGATTGATATTAAAGGACTATTACCAATAACTAAACAAGGCAACAGATATATAATTGTTGCTATGGACTATCTTACCAAATGGCTGAAAGCAAAAGTAATTGCTGATATTAAAGCAACTACAGTAGCCAATTTTATATATGAAAAAATAATTTGTCGACATGAAGCTCCCATGATTATACAATCCAATCGAGGAACCAACTTTCTAAGTGATGTTGTCAAAGAATTATGTACCAAATTTCAAATAAAACATTTTAAGGGTAGGGTGAAATGATCTACATTTCAATAGTGATCACGTTACTAAAATTTTTTACAATAATATTTAATTA